AATTGCACATGTATTATATATCAACGTGTATGGAATCTCAAATCAATGAAGAATCAATTTTCATTCAAAACCTAAATCTAACAAATATCTAATAGATAGATGAGAAAAATGAATTGTACATATCATATGTATAGTGCATTTTTTTTTTATTCCCCTTCAGAAAACTTGAAATAAATTGACTTTAATCGATACTAACCCTGTTACACAACGAATAATTTTGTCAAGACTATATCTTATACCTTAGGAAATAGATTTTGTAACTATTGAACCTATTTTTGAGACTGGCTTCAAACCATGTTTGAGGGCAGCTTTCCACACTAAATCAATTCTATCGACGTCGATAGCACCAACTTCATCGTGATTCCAGCCTTCTAATGAATGGACAACTCCACCAGCATGGCATGCATGAACTACTCCTCTGTCCATTGTATACTGTATCAGAAAAATGATACAAAAATTAGTAAGAGATTAAGTACAGTTACATTTATATGCTGTCATTTCTTTGATTCTTTGCAGCTAATTTCATTATGCATTTTAGTTGAAAGAATGAATTCGAGAGAAACCATATACATGAAAGAAATTGTTTGTTCAGGTGAAATGGATCAAAGGCCATATGTCATTTGAAATTTAACAAAAAAAATGTCTTGTATGCAGTATTGGACATGGCTTGATATTGTACTTGAAATTTTTGGGTTCTATATATTTGATGGGATTAAATATTATGTCAATATTCCGCAGGTTTAACACTTTTAACGATGAATGAACTTGTACACCCCAGAAGAAAAGATACAGATTTTCGTGTTCTTTTTGTTGTTCCTATCTCAATTGTGTTCAGTTCATAATTTTCAACAAGGTGAATAGACGAACATTAACGTGGCAAAAGATAAGCTGGAAATAGGGAGAAAAATTAAGATTTCTTACTTCACAAGATCCTAGCCCTTTCACATCATCAGGCAGCTTCATGGCTGCAAGATCTCCATAAGTGCAGTCTCTTCTGAATTGCAAAATGGGTGGAACCACAAACTGATGAAAGTGTGTTCTAGCTGGGGCAAAATTTTGCTCTCTTGGTGTGATCCACTTGCCAACTATCCATGTCTGTAATATTGAAATCATGATTTGAATAAAAACTTATATAGAATATTGTGTACAGAAAACTATTTCCAAAAAAGGGATCAACATTCCACGATTTTTTTTCGCATCAATGGAGACACGATAAAGAAAACATGCCAACAAACGATGAAGAATTTAATACCGAAAAGTTAAAGGGGAGAACAACACACCTTACAGTTTTGGGCCGCTTGGTACTTAGTCACTTGGACTAAATACTTCTGATAATCAACTGGTGCTTCTTTCTGAATCTTTCGAAATCGTTCTGTTGATAGAGTAAGCATCTGCAAAGTTACATATCTTGCACGTTAGCGTTTGTAAACTTGAGTTACAAACATAAGGAAGTTAATTGTAGAATGGAATGTACAATAAGTTCTTTAATCATTCTACGAACTAGTCATATCTTTTAACCCGCTATACATGATATTGAACGATTCTTTGCTCACCAGAACTCGAACTCCTTTTCTGCAAAGATAAAGAGCAATTGCTCTTCCGAGTTTCGAGGTTGCTCCAGTCAGAAATACTTCAGTCACATCCTCAGGGATCTCATTAAGAATCACAGCTGCTGTTAAGGTATTACCATGTACAACTCGAACCTTGAGGTTTGGATGCTTATCTACAAATAACATCCCACCTCCATTGAGTGCCTCGTTCTACAATAGATGGAAAAAAGAGCTTTAGTTAATAGTTAACACTTGCTGATGAACTAATAACATTTACACCAGTAACATATGGCTTGATGAGTAACATTTTGTTGTTGCATTTGTGGGAGGATTATATTAGACAAATATTGTGTGTGTGCGTGTGTGAGAGAGAGAGAGACCTTATTTAGAGCAGCAAGGCTAATAACTTTAACTCCCAATCTATCAGCCCTGAGAATAGCCTCTTCTATGTGCTTATTGATGCCTTGTGCAGCAAACGGTAAGAAATACTGCGAAATAAAACCAAGTTTAGTGTGTGTGAGAGAGAGAGAGACCTTATTTAGAGCAGCAAGGCTAATAACTTTAACTCCCAATCTATCAGCCCTGAGAATAGCCTCTTCTATGTGCTTATTGATGCCTTGTGCAGCAAACGGTAAGAAATACTGCGAAATAAAACCAAGTTTATCATTAAATTATTAGCCAGCCAAAATAAATCAGCAGTACCTAATAAATTTCATTGATTAATAAAAAAGTAGTGAAAAAAACACAGCACAAACCTGAAATCCGAAACGGGGTACAGCCCACGTTTGGTGCAGCCGATCCCTAAGGTTGTAGAATGAGATCAAGAAAGTCTTAGACTTAGCCCACATCACTAACATGGTGACAAAGGCTATGGGCCAGAACGGTAGCATGCAAATTCTTGTAGTGTAGGGAAGAGACGCTATTGATCGTAATACAAAAGGCACGTGCATGGCGGCCGAAATGTCTACAACATGAGCCAGAAATACAAAATCTGGGACTCTTCCATTTTTACCTGCATTTTCCATGAATTCGATCAATCAGTTTATAGAGATTCACCTAATTCAGAAAAAGTAAAAAAGAGCCCACTATTAAACATTAATGGTATGTTCAATGTATATGACGACCGGACAAAACTAAACAATTTAACATAAAGAGATATGTCTTCATTGACCATCTACTAGTTTCAAGATAGACCATGGTTCCCCTTCACATTTAAGCTTGGTTGCAAAAATTGCTAGTTCATATAACTCGTCTAAAATGACTTTTTTCTGCAACAATCAAAATGTTAATCAAAGTTCTTCGAGCATTCATTTTTTTCATTAATGATTAACACTTTGTCTCCGTTGATAGTACTTGATCATCACGGGATATTTGATAGGCTTACCTGAATCTTGACTAATTTCCTTATGCATCTCCCATGATTTGATGTTCAAAGTGTTTCCTAATGCATCAAAGAGAGGCATGAAAAGGCAATAATTGGTGTCCAGTTCTTTGTGATGCAGGCTGTGGTATCTGCATAATTCATCATATTCACAGTAAGAAAACAAAACGAGAAATATTCTCTAGAAAGGATTTCCATAATTTACTAACCAAAGTACTAAGGGTACATATGGGTTAAATCATTTGTACACCATACATCATGGTCCTCCCTTACATGTTGAGGGAGTCCACATGAATTAAAATTGTGGGCCCCTTTATTATGAGGGGTTGTACCAAGCAAAGTTCGGTACATATATTTGTTGGCATGTCAAATCATGTATATGTCTTATCAACACCCATTTATAATAACTACTCATATATTAGCCCTTAGAAATAAAAAAAGAAGAAAAAAATCTTATCAGCCCTTAGAAATAAAAAAGAAAAAAATATATATATATCTTCCCTACACATGAACAGGCATGTTGAACCATGATTTGAATATTTTTGTCCATTTTGTATTACTAAAGTCTTTCGATAAGATAATTCAAAAATATGTATTTAGGTACGTATTTAGCGGCGCCTTAGGTATATGTATCAATCAACATATATTGTGGCTTGTGTGTGCAATGTATTTCTTCATATAAGTTTTGTATGTAGGTTTCACTTACGTTGGTGTAGAGAATATATATCTAAGAAATGGGATCCTTTCAAATAACTGATGGGGAATAATTTCAACGTTGGAGTGCCCTAAACATCTTAGAAAATCAAAGATCAGGACATAGCCATAGATCAAGCTTATCGATCCACATCCAATTATACAACATCCAAGTATTGGAATTCCAATTACTGCACTCAGTACAAGATTTTCCAACAAGGAGCCATGTCCAGCTGCAAAAGAATCAAAGAAATGGATTATAAGTCAAAAATTTACACTACTAATTTGAACAGTGTCGAAGGTTTGAAGAGGTGAACTTAAGAATACCAGACACCATTAAACACTATTAAGAGCATGTTTGGCTAAACTTAGAAAGAGTTAAGTTACTTGACTTTTAAGTAACCTTTTTGTGAAATATGTTCCAATAACTAACATGTCTTTCTAACTAAAATGGATATTAGTGAAAGATATGGAAAAACTATTGATGACGAGGAACGTTAATGTAAAGCTACTGGAGTTACTTATTATGGATCAGCTACATATTCCATATATTCGAGTCAAAAGTTGATTGCTTAAGTTTATCTTATCTCTGTAATTTGGGTGATGACTCAAAGCTTATTTTAGGTTATTTCTTACTTCAATCATACTACAAGTATAGAAAATTTTAAAAGAAAATTTGGACAGACAACACGTGACGTGAAATCACTGGAAGATGGAAAAAAGACAAAAAAAAACAGGTGAATCAGGTTCTACCACATTAGCATTTATACGAGTTTGGTAAGAAATTTCCTGTACTTAAAGCTTTTTCCTTCTGCACCAGTACTTCAGAGCTAACATTGGTGTAGGTATATGTCTTACTCCTTTGTAATAATACATCATTCATTTAATAGACGTTGCTTGAGATAAAGCCAAACCCCATCGAATTATAGGTAGGGCCTAAAAACTCTCACCTAGACGTAGATGGACTTCTTTAAGAACTTAACTTTTTTAGTTTTAATAAAAATAATAATTATTTAAATCCATTCTTATGTTTAGTAGTTAAAAACTCACTTATTTACTTATAATAATTAGTAAACTCTTTAAGCTTAGCCAACAAAGTTCTAAGAAAAATGAATTTTGCTAAATGTACATAATAAATGTATATAAATGATGACATAATGTGATGTGGAGGGAAAAAAATGGTCGAAAAAGTTGATTGTGTTTTAAACAAGCAAATGATAGAGTGCCACGTAACATTATGGATACTCATATGTATATGCTTATATACCTATAACACTACTCAAGAAAAATGGGTATAACAATCCAGCTTGGACTAGACAAATACAGTCCCCTCACATGAGGGAATCCCACATTATGGGAGGGGACTCCACGTCGATGCTGGGACCCCTCGTGTGAGGGAGCTATAAGTCTTGTTGTACGCTNTTGCTAAATGTACATAATAAATGTATATAAATGATGACATAATGTGATGTGGAGGGAAAAAAATGGTCGAAAAAGTTGATTGTATTTTAAATTAGCAAATGATAGAGTGCCACGTAACATTATGGATACTCATATGTATATGCTTATATACCTATAACACTACTCAAGAAAAATGGGTATAACAATCCAGCTTGGACTAGACAAATACAGTCCCCTCACATAAGGGAATCCCACATTATGGGAGGGGACTCCACGTCGATGCTGGGACCCCTCGTGTGAGGGAGCTATAAGTCTTGTTGTACGCTAGCACCGCCCAAGAAAAATATCTAATACAGTGTGCCTAACAGGCTTGTGAGTACAGTGACATTAATGTGGTTGATAGAAAGTCAAAATTCTAATGTACTTGGCTTACCAGTGATGGGCTGTGGTACAGCTGATGAATGGTGCAATGAATGGTAATGGTTGAAAAGATAGTCTCGATGAAACCATTTATGAATGCAATAATAGAGGGGCTCAGAAACCGCTGTATGAAGTAATATTATGGCTATAATGCCCTTTGGATTCCATACGGGGAGAGTCTCGTGGACTGGCAACATTTGCAAGACCAAGGCAGCAACGATAGCTTGAAGCAATATGAAATTATCCCTGAATTACAAAAAGAAAATTCGCTTAATGTAGAAGAACAAAAATTTGAAAAAGAAAATTCAGTCACGTATAGTTTTTCGGACTTTATGTTGAGGTCTACATTTAAATAAATAAATAAATATGCCCTTTAAGATAATTTAACTTGGATTAGAGCATTCAATGCCATCTATTTATGAAAATTGCAGTGACCCCTCAACCTTTGAAATTTTTTTTTCCCCGTGTATGGATAAATCATGTTTGGATATCAATTGAAATCTAAATTTTAATCTAAATCAAAGTTAACAATTAATTTTAATAACATATTTCATGCAATCCTTAATTCTTTTTTACTTTTATCAAAATATACTAAAAATCTAATTTTTTTTTTCTCTTTTCTCCTATTCTATCTTACGCTCTCACTCATACTTTTTATCAAAACTTTAATCCTTCTAATTTTTAAAAATCTGTCCATAATTTTTCTACAAATTATCACATCTACTATAAATTTTCACTTTCCAATCAAATTTTCAATTAATTAGAACCCAAATTGACATTTTCTCCTATCTTATTTGTGTACCTAGAATGTGTCGGAACTGATTATACCCAATTTAACGAATTGTATTTATTTTATTGAATATTGGTAATATATTTTTCTTTTCAATCACTTGTATTGATTGTTTGTATTAAATACATTATAAATTTTTTAAATATAAATATGCATTTTATTGTGATGAGCAAAATATTAATAAAATGGCAGTTCGAAATCAAAATGATGAAAATGACGAGCAAAATGTTAATGAAGAAATGCTTTTTAAATGTAAATCTGTATTCTCTTGGATCGAGTATAAATCATTTAAAAATAAAAAACAAAGTATTTGATTTGTACAAAGTTTGATTGTGCCCCTAACTAAAAATTTCTGTGTCCGCCCCTATGAGAAAGTATGCCAAAACTCAAATCAAATAAATGATTATACATCTCATATTAAACCCCTGTTTGGCTCCCATTCTTGTCAAATTTTAACGATGAGAATAGTTTTTTTGAATAATGTGTGGTTGAAAAAGAATGAAATTTTTTTGATTTGCGTGTAATATTATTTTATAGAAAATTGTGTGATTGAAAATAAAAGAGAGAAAAAATAAAAATAAAAATGAAAATAAGATGAGAATGGGGCCAAACGGGGTGTAAATTTTTAATCTTTTAGAGGAGATAGTTTAAAACTTATAAACCCTAATTTAGTGCTTTTTCTCCTCGAGTATTAATGAGACTACGTCCTTAATTTTTATTTTATTTTTATTTTTATTTTTTTTAATAAATTCAGCAACCCTTTGTAAGAAATATTAGGTAAATTTTAAACATTTATCTATCCATGAGGAATTCAACCCCTCTTCCTCGCAAATGAAAATGATTACGCATTATTCGCATGCTCGTCAGAGCTACGAAATATGTCATATATTAATTCTTGTTCTCTAAAAATATAGAACAAAGGGATTGTGCCATAAAAAGGGCCAAGACATGAATTGAGAAAGGAAGAGATTACCAGTTCCATTCTCTGTCTATCTGCTTAAAATCAACTCCTTGTTTGAAAATCAGGCGATTCCGAGTAAGAAAAAGCATATGACTATAAGCATTCCATGAGAGATACATCATACCCCTCAGCAAACATATAATCAGAATATGAAGACACCAACTGCTCTGGTTAGCTTCTCTATATCTTGAATCCCAAACTTTAGCCACGAACGGTCCATATAGCATATACTGTTGTGACAGAAGAAATGATATCAGAACAAAACCCATATCACAAAACCTTTATATATGTTTGTGATAAAGAAATAGCACTATAGATAGTATCGAGAAAGCTAAAATCTTGTCCACTATATGTGCCCAAGCAAGAACTCGAAGAAACGCCAGGAAAAAATGGAATTTAAATTCGGGATAAACAAAAGCAGATGCAACTAGTACCTTGAAAACGCCCAATATTTCCCATGGCCAAGCAGACAAGGGTGCAGCCATGTTAGAGAATATAGAAACTTTGCTTTTTTACTTCTTTAACTTTATATTTGTATAAAGAAGCCCTGAAATGTAACTGAAATATCCCAGCTTGCTTTATAATAACAGTATAATCTTGAAAAACACTTCTAATTCATAGGAGAAAAACAAAAATAGTTGATAGTTTAAGGACAAGCTTGTTTGCTATTTATAAAGCTTATGATCTTTCCTCCCTTCGTTCGTAACCTATTTCGTAGGCAAGAAAGTGAAGCCATTAATCTCATTTAAGAGGGCCTACTTATAGCTGGCAGATGACACTGATATTAACGATCAACTGTCTAGTTCAAATATCGTTGAGTAAACTTGAATAAAGAAATGTAACCCTTCACCAATAACCAAAGCGGTAGACTATATAATTCCATTAGTCCCAAGGCTGAGTTTCATTTTTCCCGTCCCGAATATATAGGCCTCATTTTTAATTTAGAATATTTTATTTTGTTCATTTACCAATATACCATTATGCAATTTTCCTCGCTTAACATGCCAACTTCTTAAAATCATTCAAATACACACATTTCTCACTTCTTGGAAACATGAAACAACTCTCATTTCTTCTTTTTCAAATTAAATCATTCAAATTCTTTACTAATTCCAACAATAATTTACTACTACATACTGAAAATTAAATAGAGATAAATTAGGAAAGATCTTGATAAAAAATTAATTTTCCAATGATTTTAAAGAAGTTTTTTTAATCCGTGTGAAAAACAAAATAAGTTTATATAATTGAGACGGAGGGAGTATGCTATTAGATACTTGCTAGAGTAGATAGAGTTCTCAAATTCAAGTCTCGCCCGAAAGATTATGCACGTGTCATGTCTATATATATATAGAGAGAGAGAGAGAGAGAGATACACGTTTCTAGTTCTATGGCTGGCCAACTTGGTATTCCGATAAGGGGGCAGCTGTATCTAAGCATGAGCGAACTCAGAAATTAATGCACCGATTGAAATGTGTAGATAGGGAACGGGGTGGGGTGGCGCGCGGATGGGCTGGCAATGGAGCTGTACTTAGTAATGACGGGCTGAACAAATGTCTCTAATTGTCTATAGATCATTCGTATGAAGAAAAAGTGGTTGTAAGGTTCAGATGAAACTACCTAGAGATGTCGACTTAAAGATAAAAAGTCTTAGAGATTTCCTAACAATAGATTTTGTGAAAATTGATTTTTTTGGAGAATTAAAAAGAATGGAAAAGTTATCTATTTTATGTAATATTATTTTATTGTGATATGTGTGGTTGAATATGAATTTTAGAAATGGGGGCTTAACTAACTTCGTGTAATGTTTATATTCATTTGAAAAATTAAAATGTTTGCCTATTCCGTAGTCAACTCTACTTGATTTAGACCGGTTGATCTATAAGAAAATGTCATGTGCAGAAGAATACTTAGGCTAGAAAGGCTAATTTGACAAAATAATAACAACAACAACATTATTTAATGGACAAGAGTCTAAAAAGGACACTGAGCTGGCCCTGAGATTTTTAGTATCCTGTGTGAGATTTTAAAATGGTACCCCCTTTAAATAATTAAAACATATATTAAAAAATAATAATTCAATAATACTATTTCATTGCAAAAATATGATATTTAAATTTACTTATTTATTTTTACATACACGAACAAGAAAAACACAAATAAATCTCAAAAGCATATCTTGAACTTTATCAAAATTCATATCATCAACAAATAATCATCCAAACCACTAGGCTCTTTGTGCAATTTCATATAAGCAAACCTTGAAATATATATATATTAAAACTTGAAATGCAACAATTATGTAAAAATATTTCTTCTCGCATTTTTATAAGCAAACTTACTAATAAAACTTTCTTAATCAATATTTTCTAGAAAGTCTTGCTTAATAGATATCAAAGTTAACTCATTCAATCGTTTTTCTAACATGATTCATCACAAATAAAATTTTAATAACTTCAATTTTGAAAAACTTCTTGTAACAGATGCAACAATAACAAAAATTGTCAATAATATTCTATAAGCAATACATATATTCAGATAGCAATCCAATCTTTTTCAAATAAGTAAATATATCAAAATCTGTCTTTATTTCTTTTGTTAAAAGATTTTACAAAACTTTTAACTCTTGAAGTAAATATTCGCATCGCAAAAATTTACATGTCTTAAAACAATATCAAAATGATCACAACATGCTTTCAAATTAGTATAATCCAATGAGTTTCATTTGTCAGAAGAAAATAGAAATCCAAATTTTTTTCATATGAATTGAATTGATCAATCCTTCAAGTGATTGTGCATCGTCTACAGTAACATTTTCATCAAAATTGTAAACATTAACATATAATGACCTCTGAAATGCAAAAATCTTATGTAAGGCAAGATGTAAAAAAGCAAGAGCCAATTTTATTTTTTGAGGTTAGAGTTTAAAGTTTTAGATTAATTACTTCCAAAATTAGGATTTTTAGGTTTTGTATTTTTTTTTAGCCTATAAATTGTAAATAATTTTATTTATTTTTTAAAAAATCGGTTCCACTCAAGGTTGTGGTTCAGGATCCAAGAACAAAACAGAACCCAATCAGTTATTGGTTATCGGATCCAGTTCCTAATTTATTTTTTGAGAATCGGATCAGAACCTTCGATTTCGATTTAGGAGATTTGATTTCCGTTAAAATGTCCAGGCCTACTCAATAGCAACGTCAATAAGTATATCATTAAATTACAACCATTTACTAATCTAGTAAGCAGCATACAATATCTTCTACCATATGATCATAACTACTAAAAATTCAAAATTTACGACACAAATATTTAATTATAAATAAATACAAGGGTAAAAAAAAAAATTTTGGTGTCCCTACAATTTTGAGGTCCTGTGCGATCGCTCAACTCGCGCACCCTCAGGGCCACATCTGAAAGGAAGTAACCCCTGGCTCCAATGTCGTATCCAAGTTCCATTGTTTGTACGAGAAATGATAGCAAAGAGAGCAGGATACACGTAATTTATCATAATTAAGTGTGATGAACACTAATTTTTTGTATAAAGATATATGTTAATAATTGGCATAGGTAATCCATTTTCTTTTGCTTAATGAAAACCGCGAAGGATAGTGAATGAAATAGAAGTTGGTAATCTATCTATACAATAAATTGCAGTTGGTAACGAAGCTGGATGTAATATGCATGGTTAAATGTTTCAATGCTCATTGAATATTCTTAAATATTTTTTCAGTTTTATTGAACTTCGAATGTTTTCAAAGTTTCTATCAAATTTATCAAAATATTATCATATTAATCACTCTATCACTCACCATTTAAAAGTTATCGAACTGAGTGAATTATTGAAATATTTGATTATCGTGTCAATCTACAATCATGTAATGGGATGCAGTAACAGATGAGATATATTTTAGTAAGTGAAGTGATAACTCAAATTTTTTTTTAATTAAGTTAGAAGACAACTAATAAACTTTTGCGAAAATTCAATGACAACTCATAAAATTTTAAAGTTCAATAGTAGCTAAAAAAAATTTGAAAAATTAAGTGACAACTAAGATATTTAAGCTGTATTATATACAAGTCAAACTTTTTTATACTGTGTGAAGATGTCATTTTTCAACTATACCAACAATAAGAGTTCTTGAATAGACGGTAGAAATTGGCATTTGAAAATTAATATTTTCCCACAAGGCTTTAAAATTTCCAAATATAAACTTAACCTCATACTTGTAGGAAAAGGCAATTACGTTTCGCAAAGTGATCCACAAAAATTCAAAGGGTAAGAAATTAGAAATTTTTTATATAAGAGCGTGTAACAATGGAAGATCAAGATTACTATGCTAGCTATCATCATAGATTGTAATGGAAATGTAGGCTTGCGGCGTATTAGACGAATGTGGCATCTCATAAATATTTCCTCTATTCCGGCAATTGAGTTGTTATTGTCCTCGTGCTCAAATTCTTCACATCAAGAAAATTATAAAAGAATTCAATTTAGTTATTTCCTTTGAAGAATGGGATATAGAATTAAATTTTTTTCTCAAAAGTGCACACAAAACATTGTCAAGTTGAAAATACAGCTATCGTACAATTAGCACAATCAACACGAACTATTGTTGTTGACTTGAGAGAGCCTTGGTAATTAAATTTTTTTTTTTTTTTGATAACCCAGGTGTCCCAGCTTAGCCGGACTAAATCCTGGACCTCTAGCCCCCGGCCCCTCAGTGACTAGTGGAGGTAAATCGTAGGTTGTGCCCTTATTGGTTCCCAGGTTCCCACATGGCTTTTACTCCTTCCCCAAAGGGACCCTCTTCCATGGTTATTACATCACCAAAACTGCTCCAACCCTTCCTCTGGTTATTACATCACTTGGCTGCTCCAACCAGGAATCGAACTCTCCACACTTGGTTCCAGAGCCTCCCAATGTGATTGTTCCGCCAACTTGGATGTGCCCTGGGGGGCGCCTTGGTAATATTTCTATTTCCTTTCTTGTTGCGAAGATGATGAACTATTCCTCAAGATAATTAAATAATTACATGGTAAGTTTTAACTTGAGTCTCCCATCTTTTTTGTAACTTTGGGGTCTCCAAAACTTGAACTAGTATCAAAAGATTATTACACTTGTTTACCAAAAATAGGTTAAGAACATTGTTAATAGTCACCTGATCTATAGTTGATTTATTCTATTTTAATCAGCATTATAAAAAGTGTAAAACATAGCTAGACGTGAATGTCAAGTTTCAAAATTTTTACGAGTCTAGGCGAGACCTATGCGTAAAAAAGAATTTTCTTATTTTTAATATTACTTTAAATTTTTATTTATTCTAAAAATCAGTTAATAATTAAAACAATATAGACCAAACATTTAAAATTATAAAATACTATATTTACTTAATCATTTTTTACTTTTGTATAGATAAAATCATTTCAAAACTTAAAACTAAAGTAATATAAAAGACTTTTAAAAAATTAATAATGTGCCATTAGATGCTCATTGCCAAGACATTGCGTTTCGCTCAAGCCTTGTGCTTCGGCGGACTTTTTAAAACACTGATTTTAATAGCTTATTTTCTTAAATTTCTGTTCACGCACTTTGTCTATTTCCATATGTTGAATTAATATAATAAATATGTTTAATAGAAATTGTTGACCCCGATAAATGTTGATTTATTGATTAGCGGAGCTGTCTCTACTAGTGACAAGACTTAATATTTACACTCATGACAAA